GCCCCCCCCCCAGAGTGAGTGCTCGATGCTGTGTGACAACCTGGAGCGCCGGCGGAGGGAGGCCGAGGACCTGGAGGAGTACTGCACCCAGCTGCAGGTGAGGGGGGCCCCACACCCCACGCCAGAGGGGGGGTACCCAGCTCCCTGGGTCGCTAATCCCCTTCCCCCCCTGCCAACACAGGAGAGCTGCCATAAGGTCAGCCAGTCGGTGGAAGACGCCGAGATCAAGACCAACGCGCTCAAGAAAAGCTCCGCCCTGCTGGAGGTGAGAGCATGGGGCAGTGGGCACTGCTGGGGGGAAGCTCGCAGCGGGCTGAGGCACTGCTGCGGGAAGCTCGCAGCGCCAGGGTCCCTAGCGGGGGCACTGCTGGGGGGAAGCTCGCAGCACTGGGATCCCTGGCTAGGGGAACTGCTGGGGGGAAGCTTGCAGTGCCTATGTCCCCGGTTGGGGGCACTGCTGGGGGGAAGCTCACAGCACCTGGTTCTTTAGCTGGGGCACTGCTGCGGGGAAGCTCACAGCACCACGGTCCCCAGCTGGGGCACTGCTGTGGGGAAGCTCACAGCACCAGGGTCCCTGGCTGGGGCACTGCTGTGGGGAAGCTCGCAGCTCTGGGGTCCCCGGCGGGGGCACTGCTGGGGGGAAGCTCACAGCACCCGGGTCTTTAGCTGCGGCACTGCTGTGGGGAAGCTCACAGCACCAGGGTCCCCGGCTGGGGCACTGCTGTGGGGAAGCTCACACACCCGGGTCCCCGGCGGGGGCACTGCTGGGGGGAAGCTCGCAGCACCCGGGTCCCCGGCTGGGGCACTGCTGCGGGGAAGCTCACAGCCCTGCCCCCAGGAGAAGCTGCGGACGCTGCAGCAGCAGGCGCAGGGCGGGGAGCTCGGCGGGCAGGAGCCGGAGCAGCGCGCAGCCCCCGAGATCTCCAAGCCCAGCTGGGACGCGGCGGGGGGCAGCCCCACAGACCTCATTGGCAGCCCACAGGGGGTGCAGGGCAGGGAGCCGGGCTCTGCGCCAGAGGAATCCAGGTGAGGGGAGGGGCAGATATGAGGAGGGGGGATGGGGGAGGGGCTGGTGAGTCAGGCCATGTGGGGTGGTTGGAGGTGGTGGGGAATTGGGGGAGGGGACCAGGTCGTGGGCTGGGGGCATCCTTATATTCCCATCCCAGGCAGGGGGCTGTGGGCAATTGTAGTGGGGGGAGGGCCCTCAAGCCCAGCCCCCCATATCCATCTCCCCAGGCAGGGGGCTGGCGGGTGGCTGTTGGGGTCCCCTGCCAGCCTAGCCCCCCATATCCATCTCCCCAGGCAGGGGGCTGGTGGGCAGCTGTGGGGGGCCCCTGCCAGCCCAGCCCCCCTGATCCGTCTCCCCAGGCAGGGGGCTGGTGGGCCGCTGTGGGGGGCCCCTGCCAGCCCAGCCCCCCTGACCCCTCTCCCCAGGCAGGGGGCTGGCGGGCAGCTGTGGGGGGCCCCTGCCAGCCCAGCCCCCCTGATCCATCTCCCCAGGCAGGGGGCTGGTGGGCCGCTGTGGGGGGCCCCTGCCAGCCCAGCCCCCCTGATCCGTCTCCCCAGGCAGGGGGCCGTGCTGCAGATGATCGAGCGGCTGGGGGCCCAGTGGGAACAGGGGCACCAGGAGCTGCAGGGCCGGCTGGATGAAGCCTTCAGCACGTACGTAGGTCCCCCCCACAAGGCGCTGCCCCCCCACCTCCGCCCCCCCAGGGCACCTCCCCCTGCACCATACCCTCCCCCCAGGCCCTAGCTGCCCTTCCCCCCCACCCCAGCCACAGTGAGCGCAGGCTGGCAGCAGACTCAGGCAACTCCGCTCCCCGGCAGGGCGAACCGCACGGCCCAGGCCCTGAGCCAGCTCCGCACCGACCTCGAGGGGCTGCGGCAGGTCAAGCCGCTGCTGGAGGACGTGGCCCATCAGCTGGGGAGCCTCAGGGCCCTGGAGCTGCCTGACCGGCCCCCCACCAGCTGTGCCAGGTACCAGCTGCTCGGGGAACATGGGGGGCTGCGGGTCGGGAGTGAGGGGCACCGGCAGGGCTGGGGGGGGCAGGGCTAGGCTGGCAGGGGCTGTGGGTCGGGAGTGAGGGGCACCGGCAGGGCTGGGCTGGCAGGGGGCTGTGGGTCGGCAGTGAGGGGCACCGGCAGGGCTGGGGGGAGGGGCTGGGCTGGCAGGGGGCTGCGGGTCGGTAGGGATGGGCACTGCCATGCGCTTTCCGTGACCTGTTCCCCCCCCCCCGCCCGCCCCCCAGCCAGGGCTGCGTCAGCGCCCAGAGCCTGGGGCAGATGGTGGAGCGCGCGGTGACGCCCCTGCTGGAGGAGCTGCGGCACTGCGGGCTCCCCCCGGCTCCCTGCTCCGCCTGCCAGCGCCTGCAGAAGAAGATCCGGGTAAGGGGCCAGGGGGAGGATGTGGGGCCCCAGGGCGTCTCTCAGGGCCCCAAGCCCCCCCACGATAGGAGAGGGGGGCCCTGCAGTGAGACACTTCACAGGCTGGGACCTCCAGCTGGGGCCCCCCTCATGCTGCCCCACAGCCAGGGCCCCCCCCCCGCTACCGCACGGCTCCCCTGCCCCACAGCTGCCCCCCACCCCATCCCCTCTATTCCACCCAGTTCCCCTGTCCCACACTGGGGGGCCTCCGAATGCCTCCACGCTGCCCCCCCCCCCAATGTAATGAGGTCTCTTCCCCCCACCTCGGGCAGGAGCTGGAGCAGGCCGCGCTGGAGACCCACGCACGAGCCGAGACCCTGAGCTCCAACCTGCGCCTGGCCCAGGACGAAGCCCTGAGAGCCAAGACCTATGTGGAGCGGGTCCGGCTAAGCCCCCAGTGAGTAACGCGCCCCCCTCCTACACTGGGGCAGATGGGCCAGTGGAACTACCCGACACTGGAATCTAGGGTCACAGGAGCTCCCCTGGGGCCTGGAGCAACCAGGGTCACTCTGCCACCCTTGGCCCTGTATGTGTGGGTGACCCCAGGGCTGGGGGGTCAGCTGGGGGGCAGGGGAGAGGGAAGCTCCACAGCCGAGCGCCACCTCTGAACTTCCCCATCTCGCCCTTGCCAGGTCACACCAATGGTCCATCTAGCCCAGTGTCCTGTCTGCCGAAAGCAGCCAGGCCCAGATACAATTAATCCCATTGCCCGCTCCCAGCTCCCGAGGTTTGGGGATGTCAGAGCATGGGGCTGCGTCCCTGCCCATCCCGGCTAATAGCCATTGACGGACCCACCCCCACACTCTCATTCTTTCCCGATCCCAGTTATCGTTTTGGTCTCAACATCCCCTGGCAGGGAGTTCCCCAGGTTAATGGCGCGTTGGGCAAAGAAATACATCCACCGGTTTGTTTTAAACCCGCTGCCTGGCACTGGGGGACCCCTGGTTTCTTGGGTCCGGTGAAGGGGTAAATAACACCACCCGAGTCAGATTCTCCACCTCAGGTCCTGCACTCGGGTGGGTTTTTTGGCCCCCCTGTGCCAGGGTTTTGTACGGCTGGTCGGGATTCTGTTTTCCAACAGGCGTCACTTTGCATTTCTCCACCCTGAGTTTCCTCTGCCGGTTTGTTCCCTGCATGACTCTTCTGCTAACCGACCCTTGATTCCTCCACTTTGACTCGGTTTACCTGATCCGGGAGGGAGCTTCGCTCCTACCCAGGCGCAGCCTTCGGGGCGGCCCCTTGGCAAAGGCTTTCGGGGAGTCCCAGGACGCTGTCGTCTCCTTCTGCCCCCTGCAGGGAGAAGCCCCCCGGCCTGGACCCCCTCCACGCCCGGCTCAGCTCCCTGCAGGCCCAGCTGTCCCAGGACGGGGGGCCCCAGCCTCCGGGGCCGCCCCAGCTGCGCTGACTCCCACCGCAACCACCAATAAAGCACCGGGCCTGCGTCTCCGCCCCTGTGTGTGTGTATATGTCTCTCTCCAGGGAGAGGGGGCATCAGCCCGGGGCTCTGCTGTGGGGTGTGCAATGCGCTCTAGGGTAGATATCTTGGGGGAGGGGGCATCTAATGACCCTCCCCACCATGACAGGACTCACGTTCGTTGCTGTTGGACTTTTATTACCCGTCCGCAGTTGCAGCCAGCGACTCCAGTCTCAGCCCTGCCCTGCCCCCTTCCCCAGTCACAGTCCCCCTTTACAAACAACACAAAAGCAAACAACGGGGGGGGGCCCTACCCCAGACACCCCCTCAATGGTTACAGCCCCAGCTGAAAACCCGTTTTTTGCAGGGGGGATAAGAATGGCAAAGTCTCCCCCCCATTTCCTGGGGGCCCATGGGGTAGCTGAAGTGTCAGGCGCTGTGGAATGGGGGGGCCAGCAGAAGCTGGGGGCTTTGGACCAGCCCAAGCAGCGCCCCCCCGCACCGCTGTACCAGCCAGCGCCAGGACGGGGAAACGCCCCTCCCCTGGGCCAAATCCTGCCCCGGGAATCTCCCCCACTCCTATGCTCCCCCCCAGCAGACGCACCAGTAGGGGTCTCTGAACACAAACACAGCCCATGCCCTAGGGGGTCTCCGTGCCCCATCGCTTTATTGGAGCGGGGGGGAAATCCAGCCGCCCCCCCCGCCCGCAGCGCGTCTTCAGGCTACTTGGTGGGCAGGTTGAAGAGAGCCCGGAGGTCGAGCAGAGCCGTCCGGATGTTAGCCCCGAAGCGGTGAGCATCCTGGTGGGGGGAAGATGGGACAGGTTAGCTGGGGGGGGGAGGGGTTACTGCCATGGGGGGGGGTTAGGGAGGGAGGGACAGACAGGGGGGCAGCGAATAGGCTCCCCCGCCCCCATCCCTGGCCTCCACTCACCGTCTCGGGGCTGGAGAACTTGCAGGAGATGTGGAACGTGATGAGGTCTTCGCCGATGATGATGTACGACACCCCATAGCCGTTATCGTCCACCTGGGGGGTAGAGAACCCAGGAGTCCTGGCTCCCAGCCCCTCCCTGCTCTAACCACTAGAGCCGGGGAGAGAACCCAGGAGTCCTGGCTCCCAACCCTCCTGCTCTCACCACTAGACCCCACTCCCCTCCCAGAGCCTGAGAGAGAACCCAGGAGTCCTGGCTCGCAGCCCCTCCCTGCTCTAACCACTAGACCCCACTCCCCTCCCAGAGCTGGGGAGAGAACCCAGGAGTCCTGGCTCCCGGCCTCTCCTGCTCTCACCACACCACTCCCCTCCCCGAGCTGGGAGAGAACCCAGGTGTCCAGCGCTCACCGGCCCGAAGCCGCCCCCGCAGGAGATGTAGTCGGGGTGGTTCTTGAGGTCGAAGAGCTCGATCTGCTGGATGGGGGTCTGGCTGGTTGACAGGCCCCACGGCTCTGACAGCACCTGCAAGGCAAGGCCGTGGAGGGGCGGTCAGGGGGTCGCAGTCCTGATCCCCTTTCCCCCGCCCCGCCCCCTTCCTGCAATTGCCCTGCCCCCCAAAGACCCCCCCCCTCTGCAAGGCCCACCCCTTCCTGCTTCAAGCTCCGCCCCCTGGACCCCCCACCACACACACCCAGCCCCGCCCTCTGGATCCTCCCAGTCTGTGCCAAGTCCTGCCCCTCCTCTTCAAGCCCCACCCCTCTGGTACCCCCAAGTCCCACCTCCTGGGTCCCCAAGCCACGCCCCCTCCCTGAGATCGCCCCACCGCCTTGGTCTCCCAAGTTCTGCCCAGAGACTGCCCCTCCCCAGTGCCCCTAAACCCTGCCCCTCCTAGAAATTACCCCGCCCCCTCTTGTGCCCCCAAACCCCACCCCCTCTAGGAGATTGCCCCTCCCCCTCTTCAAGCCCCACCCCTGAGCACCCCCCCCCACCCACGTACCTCCCTGAGGAAGGGGGAGTCCACACCCAGGTACTTGGAGACCACGTAGAGGCAGAAGAGGTGTCGGTCGATGCCCGCGCCCGTCATGGCCCGGCGGTACAGGGCCTGGTGCTTGGCGGCCGCCACACGGAACAGGGCCAGGCGCTGGGCGGCCTGGGGGGACGGACGGACGGACACGAGAGTGAGAGGGGAAGGACCAAGGCAGCTGGCACAACGCCGGGGACAAGCCGAGGGCTTTGGGGGCAGAGCGCTGGCCGGGCAGAGGCCCAGGGAGCATCAGCAGTTCTCTTCCTGCTGCGTTCGGGGGCCCCGGGTGCCGCCCCCCGCTTTGCCAACAAACGGGACGGCGGCCGAGAGAGACGCCCAGCTCCACCACCTGCCTCTTCCGCCGGCAGGAACCCCCCGGAAGTTGTCCCCGGAAGCGGTGGGGGGCCTCGGCTCATCCAGACAGGGGCGGCCCCCCAGACTCCCCTGCCCCCCGTCACCCGTCCCCACAGCCTCCGCCCCCCTTTTGCAGCCAGGTCCCCCGAGGTGGGAGGCCCCTGCTCCCCGGACTCACGCTCTGGGAGGAGTCCGTCATGGCGCGGACGAAGCTGCAGGACTCGATGGAGCAGGAGCGGACGGTCTCCGTGCGCCCCTCGCGGAACAGCCGCGTCATGGCGGCCTCGTAGGTCAGGCAGAACTTCCCTTTGTCCTGCGGGGGAAAGGGGGGGCTTAGGGGGGGGCTTAGACGGGGACCCCTCGCCCTGCGCCGGGACGCAGCCCCTCTGGGGTGGGGCACGCTCAGGCCGTGGGGCGGGGCCGTTCCCGGAAGGGCGCCAGCTGGATGAAGCCGACGGGGCTGGGGCAGGCCGTGGGGCAGGGGCTGGCCAGGGAGCAGGCCGTGGGGCTGACGATGGCCACGGGGCAGGGCCTTACCCGGAAGTGCGCCAGCTGCAGGGCCAGCTGGATGAAGCCGTCGGGGCTGGTGCGGCATTTCTTGATCAGCCCCTTGCCGAAGTCCTTGAAGGCGAACGTGTGGAAATCGACGTCGTCGGCCAGGGCCTGGGCCGCCCGCAGGGAGCCCTGGATCACCTGCTGGCACTGGGGGGGCAGGGGGG